GTGGGGGTTCCAGATGCACTCGACGTTCCAGTTGGTGGAGGAAGGGAGAGGAGGAGGAGGAGGAGGAGGAGGAGGGTGAAGTTACAGCTAGTCAGTGACATCTGCGAAAGGAAGTCAGCAAAAGTTTCACCGACTGCTCTTTCTCGCTATCCTCCTTCACCCTTCACGTTTCTCTCATCTCCCTCCTCCTTCTCTCAACTCCCTCCCTCTATCATCTTCTCATCCCTCCTCCTCCTCCTCCTCCTCCCCCTCCTCGCATCTCTTTTCTTGCTTCGGCTCCACAACCATCTTTGTTGTATAAACCTGAGGAATCTTGGTAAAACAAACGTAGGACACAGTCCGGAGACCCGGCGGGCCTGCGGAAGCCGCCCGGCCGGCCGGGCCGGTGATCGGACCGGGTGGGCCAACGTGAGGCTGGCGGATCATGAAGATCGGGTGAGTCAGGTACTGACACTTGACTGACAGCAGCTTGTGTGACTGGCCAGAGCGTCAGTGCGGCATCACTGTCATGGGACGGACCGCTAATCAGTCACGTGAGAGAGGAACGAGCAACGTGACGAGGCCCAGAGGATGCGATGAACTTCGGAAGGTGCGTCTGTGCGCTAAACCAGTTCAGAAGCCTCGTGCAGGTCAGTCACTGTGAGTGTTAGTGGACAACAGAAGAGGGGAACTCAATGTCAACTTGCAAGTCTTAGATTTATTGTAAATATCAACAGAGAGAAGCGCAGACAACTCTCCTGGTTAAACTTTGTAATGAGGATCGTTAGGGTTGTCCTGCAGTCCAGCCTTCTGCTTCCACATGTGCATGTCGGGCTTGTTGAAGGGGAAGAGATCATACTTGAGGATGGTGCGGATGGTGATGATCTTGAAGATGTCCTGAATGAACCACCAGATGATACAGTAGATCCAAATCCACAGTGGCATCAACTTGTACGTCCCTCGCGCAAGTCCCATCACAGGCAGCCCGTCGAGACTTCCCTCAGGCCAGTAGGAGGCGAGGAAGGTAGAGATAGTAAGGGAGACAACCACGGCGACCATAAGGGGCTTGCCGGGGGTGTGGGAGAAGAAGGGAGCCTCCTGTGTGCGGCAAGAGAAGAGCGTCAAGAAGTCCGAGAGAGAAACCTTGAGGTAGATCATGCAGATGATCTTGCCGTACTCCATGGGAGGGATGCCCATGGACGCGAAGACGCCGTTAGGATTGTTCGAGTCCAAAGCGCAGAAGAGGAGGAGGAGGGAGGACCCGCATGCAACCGCTGCGAGGACGATGGCAACCACGAAGAGTCTGGTAAGGTTCCACTGCTCGGGGACGGTGCTGGGGTTCACCGCGTCATATCCGATAGAGATGAGTGCGCCGTCGTTGAGCAGGGTGATAAGCATGAGCATGAGCACGGGCAGCTGGAAGAAGGCCGGCCACTCCATGCACTCACGTTCGCCGTTGATCTTTCACAGATGGGGAGGAGGATGTCGCAGCCAGCCGGGAACTGCTCTGGATACGAGAACAGCGGAGTGATGTCGCTGATGTTCAGTCTCGTCTTGACCGACGTCAGGTTCTCGTAGCCCGTCGGGCAGTAGGTGTTCTTCCTCGGAAGGTTCATGTAGGTGTTGCCGTACTTAACCGTGTTCTCCACAAAGCCGTTCGCACGGTAGTAGTGAAGAGGAGGGAACGCAAAGACAGCGATGAAGAAGAAGGTGAGGAGCTGAAGGGTGGCCGCGATACGATATGAGATGAAGTTCTTGAGACGGGTGAAGATCTCTCGGCTGATGACAATGCCGTCCACGACCACGCTCAGTCCCTCTCCCGTCAGCACAATGTCTGCCGCTGCTCTTGCCGCATCTGTAGCGCCCTGCACAGCAATCCCAACGTCCGCGCGCTTCAAGGCTGGCGCGTCGTTCACTCCGTCTCCCGTCATCCCGACCCTGAAGCCAGCCTTCCTCAGAGTCTCCACGATGAGGTACTTGTGCTCCGGAAACACTGAGGCAAAGCCGTCCGCGGGACAGATCTTGGTGCCGTACTGCTCAACAAGATCGTCGGGTACTGACCCTCCCTCTCCGAGCACTGGAAGACCATCTGAACCGAAGATGTCCTGACCCATTCCGAGCACGCGTGCAGTCTCCTTCGCGATCACCTGCACACACATGTCACCATCCCCCCCTGATCCTTCCTCCTCCTCGCTCTCACCAGGTGATCTCCAGTGATCATCTTCACGTACACTCCAAATTCATGGCATTTCTCGATGGTGTGCTTAGTGTCGGGGCGAGGGGGATCCAGGAAGGTCAAGATCCCAAGCATCCTCCACTTCCCATCCTCGTCGTCCATCCTCGCCAACGCCAGGGATCGGATGCCTCGGGTTCCGAGCTCGTGCACCTTGGCGTCTACAAGAGGCTTGATCTCATCCTTGTTGTGGCACATGTTGAGGATCACGTGCGGGGCTCCTTTGGTGATACGGAAAATCTTTCCGTCAGGGCCTTGAAGCTTCCCCTCAGTCCTCTTGAGACGAGGATCAAACGGCTGAAAGTCCAGCTGGGTGTAGGCGTCGCACTTGGACAGATCCTGCCCTGACGTCTTCAGCACCATCGTGTCCAGCGCATCACGAGGAGGCTCCTTCCACTTCGCCGCAAGCGCCGCCTGGAATAGCACCGACTCGTACGTCTCCCCGGGGCTGTACGTCGGACAGTCCTCTTGGATCACCATCTACCATAGCACCGTCAGCCACTCGCACTCGCAACCTCGCACAAAGCTCACCTTGTTCAGCGTCAGCGTTCCGGTCTTGTCCGAGCAGAGCATGTCCATGCCCGCCATCTCCTCGATCGATCCAAGACGAGTCACGATGGCACCGCGAGCCGACAACTGCCTCGAGCCAAGAGCGAGAGTGGTGGTGGTCACGATCTCAATCGCCAGGGGGATGGAAGCAACCAGAACCACCACGGCAAAGCTCAGCGACTCTTTGACAATCTCACTATCTGCCTTCTTGTGTGCTTCGACGCGTTCTTTGTTGGCTCTCCTTCCCTCGACAATGAGGTAGATAAGCGCAATGATACAGAGCGTCAGGGAGAGCACCACAAGAATCAACATGATCCTCATGAGCAAGATCTGAAGGCTTCCACCATCATTGCCAACAGACTGAAGCATCTGAGCAGTCTTGCCGAAGAAAGTGTTCTGTCCTGTAGTCTCGACTGTACCTTCAGTCTCTCCCCTAACAACGTTGGAGCCGAGCTTGCAGACATCTCCACGACGGAACTTCACAGGGAGAGACTCCCCCGTCATCGCAGACTGATCAACCTCAATCATACCTTCGTTCACGTAGCAATCAGCGGGAACGGCAGAGCCAGCAGCGAGAAGAACGAGGTCGCCGGGGACGAGGAGGGTTGCATCGATGTCTTGCCACTGACCGTCACGTTTGCAAGTGGCACGGGGCTTCAGTGAAGCCTTGAGCGCTGCAACAGCGTCACCAGCCTTGGTGGTCTCGTAGAAGGAGATGCCAGCGTTGGTAAACTGGATAATAAGAAGGATCGCCATATCGGCATAATTTCCAATAATGAGCTCAATAAGGGAAGCAATCCAGAGCATGATGGGCATGGGCCCTGTCAGGAGGCGAAGAAAGATGAGCCACTTGGGAGTGACTTTCTCAACGAGTTCGTTCTTGCCCCACTTCTTGAGCAGTTCTTCAGCTTCATGGGAAGTCAAGCCATCCTTGGGAGCGGGGGTGAACTCCACTTTGTTCTCCTTCTCATCATCTTCGTCCACAACCTCTTGAGACTTCTTTCTCTGCATTTCAACAGAAATGCGCTGAACTTCGAGGGAAACCCTCTTGGCTGCAGATGCAACCTGTTCTTCTGCAACAGAACCCATCTCCAAGTCATGGCTTCTCTTCTTCTCTCCCGATGGACGAGAGTCACGAGATCTTCTGCCCGCATCCAGCGATCTGCGGGAAAACTCGAGCGATTTTCGAGCAAGCTGGAAGACTCCAGGCTCCTCTTCCTTGAAGACGCCGCCAGTGTTGATGAACGGCATGTTTTATACCTTTGGAGGGGGTTTAGCTCTGCAAAAGGAGGCCGCGAAGGCAGCACCTTCCTACGAGATGTAGATCCTCTGTCAGCCAAGCTGATCGCAGGAGGTTTTCTTGGATGCAAACGATTTTGTCAAGGGGAGGGGAGACTGGAAGGGGAGGATCCAGGAGGATGGGAATGAGAGGAATGAGGGAGGGAGGATGGTATAGGAACGGAGTGGGAGAGAGAGAGAGAGAGCAAGGAGAGGAGAGGGATCGGAGGGAGTGGAAAAGGAGGTTGTAGAGGGGCTATGGGGGTCGGGGTGAGGGTGGAATCTGATAGTTCTGGTGGTGGGGTGGTGAAACTCACATGGTGGGTGGTTTAATATGGTGGGTGGGGGCTCAGAGCAGACAGGTTCACTTCTTTGACAGACAGGGTGGTATTCAAAATTTGGGGTGTGCTGTAGAAGGGGGGGGTTGGAAGGTTAATTCCTTCAAAGAGGCTGCAAGAAAAATCAGCTCGTGCAATAGGAAAAGAGGGGTAGGCTCGAAGGAGTCATCCTGGACTGACCAGCAGCGTCCTCGAGAATTGTTGCCTCTGGGTACTCGCGGATTATGAAGGGTGGTGACCAAGGGGGTACTTCTTCTGCAGGGTGATCAGATATGTTTGGACTAGAGGGTAGTGTAGAGGCCCTTCGTCCTGGTGGGTGGGGAGAGTCGGAGGGTGGGTTATCGTTGGGGGAAAGGGGTCTTCAGCGGCGTAGGGGGTCCGCTGGTCACTCAGAGTTGTTTTTGGCCTCCAATTTGTAGATCAGGGTGCTGTCTGAAATAAAAGCCGATATTTGAAATTTTGTGATTTTGGAATTTTCAATATTCATATGGTAAATTTGAAATTGCAACACAAGAAGCCTGCCACCGGAAAATGTCCCGGATGAGGAGCCATTACCTTCTGACCCTACACCTTCACCCAATATATGGTCATTCAGACTTTCTACCCTACCACCACCCACCCATACCCCTTCCTGACCACCCCACAATCCATCATGTTATTGCCTTGATAAGGAGTGTTGTCCGAAGGGGTGGTCACAAAGGGGGTGGGTGTGAATGGTTGCCAACAGTCCATTTTTAGGAGGAAAAAGATGGGGGGGTGATATGAAAGAAGAGTGTCCGTGAGGTAGGGTGGTATTCCCCGGTCTTTTGGCTCATGATTATTGACTGGTAGGGTAGGTCCGAGACGAGATCAATCAACCAGGCGAGGGGTATAGGATCTTTTCCAAGGGGGGTAGGGGTCAGACAAATGTAGGGTTAAGGAAAATCAGGGTAGGGTCATGCGTAATTTTTTGGGGAGCTGGCGTGCTGGTAGGGTCGCAAAAGGTAGGTGGGTCATGTTGGTCAAGGGGATAGGGGTAGACTATGTTGAAGTCAGGGTAGTCATTCCACAGTTTTTTTCGAGTGGGCTGCATAGTAAACCAGACCGAAATGACTGGAGGGTATCGTTGTTGTGGCTGTCTGCGGTAAATTGCGGGTGGGGTCATACACTACCAGTGTCATATTAGAAGGGGGTAGGGGTAAAAAGAGGGAAAGGGTGGGTAGGTAATTTTCATCCTTGGACATAGGTGGGTGGTTGACGATGCATAAGGTAGGGTGGTCCAGCAATTTCATGGGGACCTGATGCATGTCTGGACGTAGGCATGCAATGTTTTTTAGGGTGAAAAGACTCTTTTTCGACATGCTATTTACCCACCCCAGACGGCACTGCTGACAGGTAAGCGGAGGGACTGAAATGAGGGGTAGCCTGAGATAGAGAGATAGGGGTACATGTTGACGGAAACACGACTTGGTGGGGGGTGGTGAAACAGGTTTACACCCCATCAAATGACTACAAAATGACCACTCACAGACCGGTGTTTCCTCGTTCGTAAAAGGGTAGGGTGGGAGGGGGAGATGTGGTGATGTATGAGTGAACATGGAATTGTTCTTCGAAAGGAACATTATCATCACCCATCATTCCTAGGGTAGTCTTCATTTGAAAGAAGGGGTGGTTTACCTCGCTCGTGCAGGGTGTGCCAGAAGATAGGGGGACTGAAAGCCTGGGGGTAGGGGTCATTCGATCGGTTCAGAACGTACCGCCCCCAAGTAATAAAGATTGCAAGGGGGTGTATCATCGAATCCCAGGGGTTCAAGTATGGAAAGAGAGGGGTGGTCTCTTGGCAGCCAGTGACATCCCGAGCCCCCAGGGCGCAGCTGGGCAATTATTCGATTGAGGCCTCAAGTAAGATAAGGAGGGCCCCTCAGTGGGTGTTGTCCGCACATCCTGATTGGATGCTACCTTGCAACCTTTGCAAGTTGCCAGATCGGACTTTGTTGGACGGTGTCCGAACTTGAATCCGAGTGGTCACCTGTAAGTTCGCCGGGCAGCCTCGGATACGGTTCGGGCCGCCCACGGTAAAAGTTCCGAGTCACTAACACGGCGGTACCCGGGCCCGGCGCTGTGACCGTACAGTCACCGTACCGTACCGTCCGAGACCGTACCGTACGGTCGGACTCTCGGACAGTGGCACTGCCAGACGCGGCCGGGCGGCCGGGCCGCGCCCCGGCGGCCCGGGCGGCGTCGGGAGTCACCGTCCGAGTAGGGCTTGACTGGCACCGGGCACTGCGGCAAGTTATCTGCACTGCGCCGGGCAACCGTTGAACTGGCAAACTTGAAGACTGTGAGTCCACTGATCGGAACTTAGACTTTGCGCGCGGCTTTCACTGAGTCAGTCGGCCCCGTGACTGACTCAAGGGCCGGCGGGCCGCACTGCCGCCGCTGAGTGACTCGGTCACCCGGTGACCCAAAGGCCGGGCCCGGGGCTCGCCGGAAGCCAATCACCGGAGAGCGGACTCGGCCTGAGTACAGCACCTTGTAAGGGCAAGGCACAGGCTCAGCCTGGCAGGGCCGCGCCCGGCGAGCCCGACCGGCGTGACGGTCGGACTCCGAGGCTCAGTGGGAGCCGGGACTGGCAGGCCCGGGCCGGGAAGCTCAGTCCCGGACTCGCAGGCTCCCGGGAAGCGTGGAAGGGCCCGGGGGGCCGGGACTCAGTCCGCCGAAGGCGCCCGGCGGGCGTGTCACAGTGTGCCGGCTTCCGAGTTCCGAACTCGGAACGGAAGTTGCCACCGCCCGGTCACCGGCAGCACTGCCACGTGACGGTGTCGCGGCCCGGCCGCCCGGCCGTGATCGGCCCGTGATCGGCCCGTGATCGGCGGCGCCGCCCGTGCAAACGGGCCGCCGTCCGGCCCAGGCCCCGGCCCCCGCCGCCCCAATGATGACCGATGGCATCGGACACTCAGTGTGCAGCGAGTCACGGCCCGGGCCCCGGGCGACCAGAGTTTGATCTATAATTTCAAATTTCATCAGAGGATTTGGCACAGAACTGAAGTTCCTGGGGAATCGGGACTGGGGGAAGGACCCTTGCCTAGCCATAGCAGGAAATTATAAAAATTGAATGTCTGCTCACTACTAAGATTCCTCCAAGGGTGGGTGTTTCAAGAGAAAAGTACGGGTAGTGAAAGATAAACCCACCGTCAATTGAAAATGGACCCCTACCCCTCCATTATTCTTCCCCTGGGGGAAGACACCGTCGATCCTTTTATAACCCCTGTTTTTATTACGAATATGGGGATCTGTGAAGCAAGCTTGGCGCGAGTTAGAAGATGAGAGTACCCCTACCCCCTATTTTTGCTCCCCAAAGGCACCCCACCCCCTTTTCTGACATTACCCCTGTATCTTGCATAGTGTCCCCCGCTAGAATGAGCGATTCCGAGTAGCAAATGAATCGAAAGCAGGAGAAGCGAGGGGGAGAGGAGAGAGGAGGCGAGAGATGTGGAACGTGAAAGCTGATAGGGACATGCACATCTTATGGCCGGTTGAGGATCCAAGGATACTTTGTCATGATTGGGTAGTGGGATGAATTTATGTGGAGGACTTGGGGAAAAGAAATGAATTTCTGTAAAATTCGCCGCTTGAACCAATCTCTCGGTTCTGAAGATGACATTCATATGAAATTGATCTACTCGATGCAAGAATGATGTCCTTTGCGCGTATGCTCAGCTGTTGTGCTGTGCTTGTTGTCTGATAGCCCAGGTTGAGATAGTTATGACAAAGATTGTTCTGTGCTGGCAAAATAATGGAATCTTGCACCTCAATGTGAAGAATTGACATCTGTTCTGCACCAAGTCCTTGAGGTTTACATAAAAGCGGCTCCTGTACAACCTTCTACAGCAGCGCCATATGGTGAAAGTACACATGCGCGTGCTCTGATTGACGATTGGACCCAGCTTGCAAGACCATGAGCGACCGTGAGCGCGAGACGAGCGTGGAGCTTGGAGAATGTCCTCCAGCAGATCTGGTGAGATGCCATGGCGATCGTACATTCGACTTCTCCTCCGACCTCATGAAGGTGAACCTGACGTTCTCCAAGGCACCGGCGTCGCTGGAGGTGGAATCTATGAGCATCGACGGGAACGCGATGATGAGCAGGGGTCATGATGGTCTCCTTCCCTTCTGCAGTCACCGACACTCAACATGCTGCGTACCAGACGAGGAAGACCCTCCACCACCTTACTACTCCTTCGGTTCTCCAGCTTGACTCCAGCTCCTCTCGGTGCTGACTCTGTGTGCCCGACAGAACCGTTCGGGGTGGAAGACACATCGCATGTGCTCCTGCAACGTATTGCTGCTGTTGTCTGCTCATGATTTCACAGGAAGAGGAACGCAAGATCGTTTTGCGGCCTTTCCTCGGATGCTCGAACACGCCTCTGCAAGTTTTGGAAGTGTCGCAGGTCTTGCCATGTGCCTTCATACTCGTCTATCCTGCCCTCCTCCTCTCCTTTCGCGTCCCTCCCTCCCGCTTCCCCTTCCTTCCGTGCAATCTCACTGACAAATCGTAAAGGGAACAACCCTCAAGTCGGTAACGGAAGCCTTCAACCAAATGCTGTACGCAGTTGGTAATGTTGATTTTGTTTGACACGTGGATAGTTCTCGAGCAAACCCCAACGCATCGATTGGGGATGTAGATACCTTCACGAAGCTGGGAACCTCTCACAGAGGCAAACTTGTTCTCTCCGATACGTTCTGCGGATGGGAAGGAAGAGGTTCGAGCAGCAAGAGAGAAAGCAGTGAATGGCTGAGGCATGTGCAGGATTGGACCCCGACTGTTACGGGAAGTATGTGGTCAGAGGAAGGCTTGCATGCATGGAGGTGTGTTGCAAATCACAACGATGATGATGCGAGATGTAATCTGAATGAGATCAGATGAACATGAAGTGGAAGGATCAAGGATGGGGTCTTCTCAAGGGCCGTTGCCGGGTCACACTGACAGACAAGCATGGGGTGGTGAAGGAGGAAGAAGACGATGTGTTTGGTTTGTGCCAACATAGGTGAACGAGTGATGCCGGACCTGCAAGTCGTGAAAGTGATCTCCAGATCGACTGAGAGGAGGAAAGCGTTTGACTGCTTCTCGGGAATCGTTCAGAAGGCGCAAAGAGGAGATGTGCTGAACGTGTGGTGAGGGTGGATAGAGAGAGAGGAAATGCTGTCCCTGAAATTGTGTGCATGCAGGTTGACAAGAGGAGGGAGTCGAGGGTCCCGTCTGCACATAGATTCTTTCATGCTGCGTTTCACTTACTTTCCCACTGGTAAGCATTCATTACTGTTGCACAGCGGTCAATACGTGTGTACGTGCTACAGGATTTGAATCGTGTTATGGAGAAAATTTCGATGTCTAGATCGTGCATTGATGAATAACATTTGTGTCTTGCCATATGGGATGCCATGAATGATATGTATCTTGACTGTTGTTTCCTTTGTTGTGCGCTGACTGCACTTGATCTCCTGTACCACCAGACCGAGGACTGATCATCGTTTATCACCGCGATCCGATCCTCTGCTCGTCTTCAAAGCAGTCTAGAGTAGCAGGTGAAGGAGGCACGCGGACGAGGACAAGGAAGTGTGATGATGAGGCTTGCAGCCCTCATGCAGGATACTTCCATCACTCCTGCCGAGAGGCAAAAGAGAATCTCCGACATTATGAAAGAGAAGTACTCGTCCAAAGATGACGAGCGATGGGATCGAGAGATCGGAGTTGTCACCAACGACAGTGAGTTCTCTGATATGCTGCAGTGGGCCAAGGTGAATGATCCTTGCATCCTCGCTTTTCCTCACTCACCAGGCAGGTTTACGAGCAAAGAGTGTCTTCGACCTCGTTTCCGATTGCGATCTTCGGAGATGTCCCGGTGACTATTGCTCGTCTCCAATGTGTTTGTTTTCCACCTGCTTGCTGCTGCTACTGGTGTGCTGGTTTGCATCTGATTGTTTGGTGAAGATCTCGCTAGCTCAAGTCGTGAAGGAATCCGAGTTGTTTGCTTCCAACCGAGGTAAGTGAGGAGGAAGAAGAGGAGGAGAACTGATATTTCCGATGCTCCACAGACAGAAGTGCGAGAGAGATAGTGATGAATGGGTTGTCAACCATTGCACAAGGTCTTCGTAATAGCGCTGAGGTCTGAGGGCATTGAATTCCACATGATGATATTGACTGTACTCTTCAGCTTGTTCGAGACTTCTCCACTGATTTCACAAGATTTTCGACTAGCGAGGGGTGAGTATTGGTCAAAGGTTTCGACGTTGGTGATGACATTTGTGGGCCGCAGGGATTATCAAGACTTAACATGTTCGAGAAACTTTTCTCACTGTTGTTTTCATTGACATCTCCCCAGCATTAGATTGGTGGCGAGCTCTAATTTGTGAAACAGACATGAAAAGGTGCAACTAGTGACTGCAGATGTGCTGGCAAGTGAAAAATCTAATGGGTTCTGTTTACAGCTTCTTCAAGAGAATTTTGATTTTGGTTTTCCGTAAGTCAAGTCTGACGATGGCATCGATGATGATGATGATGATGACGAGGAGGAGGAGGAGAAGAAGAGGGGAGATAATGGTATTGGTGGAGGTGATGAAAGAGCAGGGGGAGGATGAGGAGGAGGATCAGGTGGGGAGAGTATGGATGTGTTGAAGTTGACTATTACCATCGTGACTTACTATGAGAGCGCTGATTTATTTGTAAAGTGCTTGCGATTGCCGCTGGTTTCTTGACATGGATGATCATACCAATCATCGACATCGTCAACCGTAACCAGGTAGATGAGAATTATAAGAATGACTGAGACAAAGAAGATTGCTGCTGCTGCTCTTCCTCCTGCTCCTGCTCCTGCTCCTGCTCCTGCTCCTGCTCCTGCTCCTGCTCCTGACGATGATGGTCGTCGTCGTCGTCATCAAGATGATGATCACGATGCAGCTACTGTTGCTGCTGTTGTTGTTGTTGTTGTTGTTGTTGTTGATGATGATGATGATGATGATGTTGATGACGACGACGACGACGACGATGACGATGACGATGACGATGATAATCTCAGGTTAGAGACACATGGAAAGTTGGAGATTGCAATGTCCTCCATCAAACATGCTCCGTCAGGTGTGCAGAAGGTAATGAAGAAGGCACTAGGAATCTGGAGCATGAATGAAGATTCAGACGTTGAGAGCGAGAAGAGGCTAGGAGAGGACGAGGCGAGGGGAGTGAGGACGAGTGAGGGAGCGAGATAGAAGGGTCATGATAGAGGAGGAGGACAACAGGTTGATGAGAAGAGTTGAAAGCTCTCTGACACTGAACCCTCACGCCTTCAGGTTGTGCTTGTCCGGCTCAAAGTCTTTTGGACTCAGGCTACATTTTGACGAACAACTGCAGGTAAAGAACAGTTGTATGAACGCCTCGCTTCTCCTTCTTCCTTATCTTCCTGCCTCCTGCCTCCTGCCTCCTGCCTCCTGCCTCCTGCCTTCTGCCTCCTGCCTCCTGCCTCCTGCCCCTGCCCTCTCTATGGCCTCTTACCTCGGTCACTTTTTATCTTTCCCTCCTGCTTCTTCGTCCTCCTCCCTTCTCGTGCTTCTCTCAGTTTTCGGCAGATTCATCTCACCAAGTCACGGCGTTCGCTCTCCTCCTCTTCCTCATCCTCCTGGTTCCGCTGTCTCGACAGCCCTGAGGACGCAGCCCGGCACATGGAGCGACAGCCCTCAATGTGAAGGTGCGAGGAGGAGGAAGAGGATGAAGCGGAGGGGAGGAAAAGGTATTGATATGTGCGCAGAGATCTATGATATTCGCTACACGCTCTCGCCTCCTGGCACTGACTCATCTTTTGCCAAGCTTTCTACGATAAGGTCTTTTTACCTCCTCGTCGTCCTCCTTCCCGTCCTAGTCGCAGTCTCTTCGTCCTTCTTCCCGTCCTAGTCGCAGTCTCTGCGTCCTCCCTCCGTCCTACGTATTCTTCACGTGTTCCCGTCGACCCACTCTCTTCCGCTTCTCCATCCTCACAAATTTACAGCTTCGACGTCAATTGTCAACTGTTTCAGAGCCAAGAAACTGCTAGTGATGTATGAACAATCGTCATAATGTCTCTTCTCACACCCTTCTTCTCTCCTCTCCTCTCCTCTCCTCTCCTCTCCTCTCCTCTCCTCTCCTCTCCTCTCCTCTCCTCTCCTCTCCTCTCCTCTCCTCTCCTCTCCTCTCCTCTCCTCTCCTCTCTCCTCCTCCTCTCCTCTCCTCTCCTCTCCTCTCCTCTCTCCTCCTCCTCTCCTCTCCTCTCCTCTCCTCTCCTCGCCTATTGTCCACCTCCCTTGTGTCTTATTGTCCTCTGCAAGGTTCTTAGCTTATCTTTCCTTTCAGCCGCTTTTGTCAGACACATGTAGAAACGTAGGAATTCGCTGCTTCCAGAAGGTCAAATATCCTCCTCTCACTTCTTCCCTCGGTCCTCCTCCCCCTACCTGCTTCAATTTCTTCCTCCTCCTCCATCCCCCCTCCTTCCAAGGTGTCCTCTACGCTCACTCACTTCCTCAGAGCAACCTCGCTTCTCCTCTTTGTGCGTCGGATCAGCTCTCAGAGGTTGGCGGCAATGTCACATGCTGGTTCAATCCATCCAATCCCTCCCAGGTAGTCTCCTCCCTCCTCCCTCCTCCTCCTCCTCCTACTCCTCCTCCTCCTCCTACTCCTACTCCTCCTCCTCCTCCTCCTCCTCCTCCTCCTCCTCCTCATCCTACTCCTACTCCTCCTCCTCCTCATGATTTGTTTATTCCTCCTATCCTCTCTCTCCTCTAGTTGTCTGGCCTCAGCTTGGCTCCATCCTGCTCCTCTGCCTGCTTTGCTTTGTTCTTGTCTTCCTCAACGTTCAGCCTCCTCCACCCTCGTCTAGTTACGTATCATGTCTTCCTCCTCTGCTGCCTGCTGCATCCTCTCATTGTCTCACTTTCCTTCAGATTTCCATCGAAGGCTCTCGAGCGGTTCAGTCTGACGTCATTGCGCTGGTCCTCCTTGGCTTCGTTGTCCTTCCACTCGCCTGCTGCTGTCGCGTAATGAGGAGGAGGCGGACATGACGGAGCGGAGAGGAAGAACAGGGAAGGGACAGCGAGGGGGATGGTGACAAGTGTGACGACGAGATGGATTTCTTCGGATTGTTTTGGACTTTTTTGTACATTTTTGTGTTATCTCGATACAAGCTCCAGGAAAATAGAAGATTGGGAAATTTGTGAATGTCGGAATGCAAACAAATATGTGACACATGAGTATCAACAACGTCGTCGTCGTCGTGGTCGCCGTCGTCGTCGTCAGCATCATCACAAGATGATTGCAGGAACTTCTTCATGCAGATCCAGAATTCTGAAACCTTGATCTGTGAAAACCTCTTTCCTCTCATGCATCAAGACGATTCGGCTAAAACCAAATCCCTGAGAGCTTGGCATGGAGAAGTTTCGCTGCGACGAGGACAAGTCAAAGGGATCACATCACAGGGAGCAATCACCTCGTTAGATTCCTTCCACTCCTCCGCCTCCGCCTCCTCATCTTGTCTGGTCACAGGAGTTTGCTGTATGTTCAGCCTGGTCATTCAATTAGCTCGTTTCCTCTGGTCCATCTTGCTCTAACTCACTTTGATATCGTGTCGTACAAGGACTGGATGAGGGAGGAGTCCTCGGTCTGTTCTTGAACCGCTTTGCTAGCTCCGCTCCTCTCCTCTCCCTTCACATAGTCTTGGCGTTGGAAAGGCTGCATGCTGCTGATCACTCGAATCTCTCGCTTCGATCTTCCATGCTCGCGCAACCAAACCCGACAATGCATGAGCGGAGACAAACACGGACTCGCGGTCGTCTTGTTCACATACAAGTGAGAGGCGCGACAGGGATGGGTCACGTCCTCCATATCCTCTTGATGCCGTTTGCTCGACGAGGATTGTGAAGCTCCTGCACATATTTGATGAGTGCTTAAAGGGCGAGCAAAGGAGAGATGCGTTCACAGCTCTCTACGTTGCTGTTGTCCTCAACCTCGTCTACTCATTGCATCGCTCCCTGCTCTAGCTCACATTTCTCTCTCTTTCCCGCCATTCTCACGTTTCCCTTCCGTCATTTTCTTCAGCACTCTACCACCCGCTGTCTTGGTCACCCTCCGTCAAGAGTAAACCATGGTACAAATTTACCACCCCCTACCCCTCCTTACGATGGTACATTTCATTCCCTTGTTCAAGTATTTTGACGAGTTTGACGAGAGGGGGGGAGGAGGGGAGGGGAGGAAGACGTGGCGTTGAAGGTACTTCATCAGCCGGACAGCTGGACATGTGGACACGAGGATAGACAAGCCTTACTTGATGAAGGATATCGACGACACTCTTATCTCGACCTTTGCTTTATCACCTTCACATCTTATTCCATCTATTCTTGGCACTTACGTTCCGAATGTATGCTATGGAATTGTCTGCAATGAGAGGCAAGGGAGTAAGGAACGCAACATGAACTTGGTGTCAAGACACGTTTACCGACGAGATCAAGACCTCTGTCGATGTCTTCTAGGTGCCTCTCAATCTGCGATTCGAACGCGCTTCCCATGACCGCCTCCATGTCCATGTGATTCACCTGAGCTGATTCAACTGCCATGGAACCACCAAGTGATCCCCCCAATCCCTCCTCCCCCACATTCCTCCCTCCCTCCCTCCTCTCTCCCTCCTCTCTCCCTCCCTTTCCCCTCCCTCCTCCCTCCCTCCCTCCTTCTTCCCCTTCACCTCTCTCGCTCCCTCGCTCCTCATTCGTCTCCAAGCTCCTTTCACTCACCTCAGACAGGATCTTCCGGAGCTTGTGGAGGATCTTGGTCTTGGAGTCTTCAGCTCTCGAGCATAGTCCGCTCCCTTCCCTTGCCTTCAACAGTCTCCCTCAGACGGGATGAAGAGCGCAAAGGAGCACAACAGGAAGGCGGGAAGGAGAGGAGGGAGGAGGGAGGAGGGAGGAGGGAGGAGGGAGGACGGTTACAGGAAGGGAGGTACCTTGTCATCGGCACCCAGCTGATGCGATCTTCGAGAGCTTGTGATCAGAAGTCGTTTTAGATTGGCAGAATCTGCCAGCTATGAGTCCAGCAGGCATCACTGACAAGATCCTCACTCTCTCCCTCCGGGATGTACTCCAACACCGTCCGTTCTTCTCGGTCCACTGCTGACACGTCTGCCCCGTGCCGCAGCAGGGCAGCAACGCACTCGATCTGACAGGCACTGACCACAGCCGTGAGCAAACAAGAAGAGGGGACGGGGAGGAGGAGATGGTGGAGGAGGACCTGGCAGCGAGCATCAGCGGCGTGGAGAGCATGTCGTGGGTCTTGGCATCCAGATTTGCTGCAGCGTTGGCAAGGAGGCGGACGATGGCGGAATGACCGTTGAGCGCTGCCTTGTGGACAGGAGTCTGCAGCACTTGTCATATTCCAGCTGGGCTAGAGCTGGGAAGGTTATAGTACAAAGCCGGAGTGATCGGAGACGTCGGCTGCTGCCTTCATGCCTAGCAGCAGTTCGCATGCTGAGACCCTTCCTCTGCCGGCCGCGTAGTAGAGAGCGGTCCTGTGCAAGGGGATGAGCAGAAGTAAGATGATGGCAGCTGGGAGGGACGTGGAGGAAGAGGAGGGAGCGTGATGAGGAAGAAGGATAGAGAAAGAAGAGCACGGAGAAGGATGTCTCTTGTCATCATGCGATGTGAGGCAGGACGTGAGCAGGGCGGAAAGAGGAAGCGGGAAGGAAGGGCAGTAGGATGGCAGACAGGGGAGGGCAGGACAAGTCAACCTCCCTAGGATATCAGACTGGTTGGCGCGGGCAACGCGATCTTTGATGTTGTCAAGACATCGATTGATCGCCTCCAGGTCCCCGGCCTCAGCTGCAGCCTAGCATGATGACGTGTCACTTTTCAGACCAGCACAGAAAGGAGCACCAGGAGGGGATAGTTCTGTCTCCAGTCGTGAGGGTTCGAGCTGAAAGGAGATGCTGGAGTTACGAGTCAAGCCTCTGGCTCATGTTCAAAAATTCCGTCCTGTTACATTCTTTTGTCACTGCCTTGAACATGGCGCCGATCTCATCCATCCTTTTGATCTGCTGCTGCTCCCTCTCGATCCTGAACTGCTCCGGTTTCTTTGATCTGATAATTCGTATCAATATCCTTGCAATAAACCGTCAAGCACACGCACGCTTTCAACCTGTCGATACGTGTTTGAGCTTTCAAAGTTATGTCCATTGACTCAACATCTGTTGTATCCAACTATCATCGTTTGCTCAACACGTTCGGCAGACTTACTTTCCCCATCCCCTTGTTGGAAGCTTCGAACAAACTCATTCTTGCATTCAGCAAACCCTGGATTGTCTACCACTGAGACAACGAGTGAGCAATGAAAGCGGCATCGGGCAGTGCTGACCATGGATTTCTTGCTTTTTTTCTGTTGAGAAATATGAAAATCCAACTACGGAGCATTCAGAATCAGACGAGACGAGGAAGCTGATGTCACATGCTTCGGTGGCAAACTCGTTTTGGACGGACTCCAAGAATCTTTCGACATGTCACAACCTCAAGAAGACAGGAGGAGGGGGCAGGATGACCGTTTAAAGTGTGTGAACTTGCTCATGCTGATCTCCTTCACCTTGATCACCATCATCATCATCTTTCTGCACTTCATCACCCCTACCTCGCTCTGAGCTTCAAACCTGCAATGAAACCTGATGATTCTGCTGCCATCCGGGTCCAGTAGGTCACGGCTGCTGCACTAGTGAGGAATGCACAAGTCGCGACCTCGTCGCACCTCTCCGAGGCTGTCCTGGAGATGGTGGGCAGCCGTTCCAAACTCACATCCACCGACATGTCTTCGGCTATCAACACTGTTACCTGCGCTTGAGAGGCTGGCAACGGGCTGTGATTAGGGAGATGACTCCGATCCTTCGATTGTGATTCACACTCGTAGTTCTTCTCCTCCCCTGCTCTCTACCGTCTCCTTTACCTCAAGCTGCTTCACACACGTATGGCTGTGCTGTCCTGCTTTGCTTGTTGCTTTGCTGTGGCGTTCCTTTCCCTAGCGTCATTGCTCTCTACTTTGGTTTTACTCATTTCTTCACGTTCTCAATCGTTCCAATCATCTTTATGATAGGTGAGAAATGTGTCTTGTGTGCCTGGCCAACAAGCAGTTGACTCTGTATGTGTTCCCCCCTTCCCCTCCCTCACCTTGGTGTGGCATCTATCCTTCCTATATCTCCCCTTATTTCTTTTCAACTGACCTCCTCCTCCATCCTTTCTATCTCTCCCCTCCCTCCTCCTCCTCCTCCTCCTCTTTCATCGTTCTTCTCCTGATGCCGCACACAGCATAGGAACTCGGACATCTCACGGTTCCAAAAACAAGTTTGAAAACTGTTTGCATTCGGATCCTACAAGTTTTGAAATTCTCCTGGGATTCCATGAAACTAGGCCAAACCAGCAAAGTTCAAAATATTCTGAAATTATCTCTCCAAAATATTTACGTTCTTTTCAAATAGAATTCTGTATAATTCATTTTATTTAAAATTTCATCCGACTGCTTCGACCTCCTAGCAGTTTCCCGCCATCTGCCATACGGCATCATGATGGCGAACAACAAGGAGGCCCAAGAGCATGGGCCGGACAAGAGCGGGAGCCCACCGCGGCGAAGCAAGGAAGTGAAGTCAACAGCCAAGTCGATGCCAAATGGCTCAAACGCAGGAGGCTTTCATCCGAGGAGCACGGTAGTTTTGCCATCGACCAGAAGAGCCTGGCAAGGGAATTGTTCTTCGATATCTTCTTGTCCGATCGCGGCTGCAGCTATCGCGGAAAAGGAACTTGTGCGAAATGCATGGTGCCCGTTGACCCGTGTACACCCGCAAATGCCGACATCACTCATGTGCGTGAGGTGCATGGACGACATGGGCGTAGAGAAGGACGAGGATGGCGAGGCGACAGTCGACTACTGCGGGGAGCGAGTTTGCCTGCTTATAGAGCCCGCAGGAGAAGTGGGAGAGGTGCCAGGACAATGAACAGGAGCGAGTCAAGAGGGCGACGGAGGGGAGGGTTGACAGTGAGGCTGCCTGAGAACTGAGCATGGCCCCTGTTGTAGGGAGAGACCTTGATTTCAAGTGACTCAAGGTCATTTTCATTCCCCGCGGCAACGTCATCGAGTATGCTAACAAAGACCGGCGTTCGGACTGGGGAACTTCCGAAACGCTTTCAGCATTTGTTGAAAATTTTGATTTAATTCATGTGCTCTTTTCTGGACTGCAACTGCCAGTAATGAATCCGCCGCAAATAGAATTGATGGAAAGAGAGCGAGATTTCATCGGTATCTGACAACTAAGGCCCTCCGATGAAGAAAATCGAATAAATCAAATTAAGTTTTCCTCGGACAAGCCTCCGAAAGCCACAGTGATCGACCTTGTGGTCAATGTTCCATTTGATTCTTTGAGGCTTGCCTTCCACTCCGAGGCAGCCATGGTGTTCACGATCGTGGCACTGTCAGTGTTCACGGTTCAACGGTTCCAGCAACTCAGTCAAGTTAGCCTGGGCCGCCCCGCCGGCGCCGCCGGCCCACCGTCGCCGGGTCACCGTGCACTGCAATGATCACAGGCGGGACTCCGCTGGGATGCACTGACACTGGACCGTGACTCGGACCGTCCCGGCGGACTCCTGAGGGCCGCGGCCCAGCCTCAGGGGATCCGAGCCTCAGCGTTGATCTGACCCGGCGCCGGGGCGGGCCGGGCCCGTCCAGGGGCCGGGCCACACGGTATCGGATCGGAAGAGTCCAAGCCTGAGTGCATTGACAGGAGACAGGTTAGCCAAGAGTTCAGGATGCAGAATGCAGCAGAATGAGGTGCGAACAGATGGAGGAAAGGAGGAGGGAGAGGGAGATGAAGAGGGAGAGGAAGGAGTGGTAACGACGACTGACAGGCAGCTACTTGTACAGCTATCTTCTCTTCTCCTTGACAGGAGGGTGAGTGAGAGGTGTTGTGGCTTTTTCCTTCATGACTGCCAATAGGTCCTCACTCTTGATCTCTGCTTGTTTGTTCTCGTGTCATGGGGAAGGTATATGATGGGGCAGAATGCCATTCTCAACGTCCTATTCCGGTTCAGTCCGTGGGTTCTGTGCATAGCGATCTGAAGGCCCTCTCAAGGTGCGCGGATGTGCTTCTTGCTGCATTCTTGTGGAGCATGCTGGGAGCGCATGTAGCGTTGATGGGAAGCACAGACCCTGAGAAGAAGGAAGCTCTGGTACTGATCAGATGACCTCCATGCACCTCTCTGATACCACCCCCAGCTTGCGACAGGGCTGAAAGGACCGTCGGTCTATGCCGTCCCCACCTCTGCAGCCATCAGCTTCGTCGTGTGCTTGCTTTGCTCTGCGCTGGTGAGTTGCATGCCTTTCCCTCCTACCGCCTCTCACCCCCAGCAGAACTTGGGGGCGCTCGAGATCTTCATCATCGAGCTTTGCGTCATCTTGGCCGTGTTCCGGTACCTCTGGCGGGGAGGAGCTGGGTATGATCTCCTGCTGAGGGTCGAGCGACTGACCGATGCCAGGCCGAGTAATCAACTCATCTACGGGGATCCGACGGAGGTGAGGAGAAGATTCCATTGCTCTTTTTGATGTTGGGACAGGGAGTTCCCTGTGGCTTCTGCGGGCAGGTAGGATGTAACGGGGCATGCTGTGTGTGAAAATTCGATGTGAGGTTGCTTTACATTTACCTTTACCTGTAACATGTTTATACCCTACACGTCCCTTCCTCCCCATCCTCTTCCTCCTCTCCTCTCATTCTCTCCATCTTCTCTCCCGATCCTCTGCTGCCGTCGTGCTGCAACTTCGGTTGCTCTTCACCAGACGCTCCAGCCGTAAACGACGACCCCAAGGATTAGGCTGAGGAAAGACGCAGGACGTCAGAGAAGGGAGAAAGAGGATTGGTAAGGACGTGTAGGTGTAGAATGAAAGTGAGGAGGGTAGGGACTGTGGGACAGGAGGATCGAAACTAGAGGTTACAAATCTCAAACTGAGCGAACCCAGCAAAAGTTGGTGCCATCTGCGTAAATCAAGACGTCACCTGATAACGATGGAGACGGAGGCGTAGAGGTAGCCGTAGTAGCCAGTCTTTCCGAGGTTGCGAAGATCTGTAGGGGTGAAGTCTACAAGCTTGGAGATCTCAGCTGCAAAAGTGCTCGCTTCGCAACTATCAGTTCTGCAATCCCTCCTCCTCCTCCTCCTCCTCCTCCTCCTACCTGTGCTCAGGCTTCCCAGCAACCCTGTGTTGATCCCGCTGCATGCTGCCAGAACGGCTGGGTTGAGCTCCGTAGGACTGTCCTGTGAACCGAGGAGTAAGATCTTAGGGAAGGAAGAGAGAGAGGAGATAGCAAGGAGGAGATACAGTAATAATGGCAGCGATGAGGCTCCTGAAGAGGGAGGCTATCATGTTAGCAATGAAAGTTCCTGTTTAGATGTCATTGTGCTTTCATCGCATCGGAAGGGAGTAGATGTCATTGTGCTTTCATCGCATCAGCAGGGGGTAGATGTCATTGTGCTTTCATCGCATCAGCAGGGAATAGATGTCATTGTGCTTTCATCGCATCAGCAGGGAATACATGTCATTGAGCTCTCATCGCATCAGCAGGGAATAGATGTCATTAAGGAATTACCAAGAGGAAAGAAGGGCGCATTGTTCCCGCTGAATCGGATCCTCTTGTTGTAGAGCTTCCCAAGTTGCCATCGTGCCAGGGCACCAATAGGAGAAAGAGTGACAGCAGCCCAGTAGCCTTTGCCCTCCTCTTTCTCAACAGCCCATCCAGTGATGCTTGCAGCAAGGCTTAGGACAAGGAGGAAGGAGACAATGATGGTCCACGTTCTTCTGCTCTGAGACAGGCTGGCGATCTCAGGAAGGTCGTGGTGAGGTGATGGTCTACTCGCATTCTGACTCCAAGATCGGCTGCTCCCTATCTCTCGATGCTTTTCTGCCAGACGAGTTCCCCCGACATAGAGAGCAACGAGCCTGGCGTTATGCACCCCGATCGAGTAGCTTGCCATGATGGAGTGAAGGCCCAGCACGAACCCGGCAAGACCCACACAGAATTGAGAGCCTGAAAGGACGAGAATCGAGACCATCTGGTGGTTCCAAGACGCGTACGTCGTGATGCAGCCACAGAACCCAGTTTGTAGCCCGACCTGCAACTGGGGCCCATACTCAACGAAGTTGGCTATCAAAGGAACTTCGTCTGCTATCTCCGTCGAGAGCCCGATGACCAGACCCACCAGCCAACTTCCCATCACGTTGGCCGGCCAATCAAGAAAGAGAGCGCCGGAAGGAGACGTAATGTTGAGGTAGTCGAAGAACAGCACGTCGAGGTAGATCCTGCTGAGTGTCCCAAGCATCCCCCACCAGGAGATGTGGATCCCCTCTATCACCGCCTGCTCACACGCTTCTCACACGCCGGCAGCGCAGCTCCCTTCCTCTTACCTCGATCAGCGCGGAAGGAGCAGAGCATCGCAACGCTCCGTCGGCCTCTCCGTGCGCCGGCGCTTCCGATGCAGCAAGTCCATGCGGCGGGATGTGCACATCGGGTGATGCTTCCATGAAGCCGTTGTGGTGGAGAGATGAAGCAAGGAATGTGAGAAGAGAGCGAGGAGAGAAAGGCTGGATGGAGGGCAGGGAGTGGCAGGGAAGGATGGGACCAGGAGGTGCAGGGGAGGAAGGGGAGGAGGCTGGGTGAAGCGGAGGTCTGCTGTTTAATGCCTGATTCCCTTCGTCGCATTTGAAGATCCAAGCAAACGAATCATGTGGATGCTAACCAGACCTGAGGGCGCGTGAGAAAAGAAGGCAAATGCGAGGCAGCCGAGTTTTAGATCTGACTAAAGTTACCAGTCAAAATCTTGAAACCTCATGAGTGGGAGAGTAGTGGAAGAGAGATTTTACAGCACACAAAGACAGCGCTACCAATCATATCATGACTATGCAAAGAAGGGTATGATGAGCGCGCGAGCGAGTGAGCAAACTAGAAACTAAGAGTCTAGCACGAACGAGGGTGACCCAACGAGTCAAAAAGTGGTGGAGAGAAGGGCGGCCATGAAGCGTTGAGGAGGAAAGCAAATGTGAACGTGATAGAACATACGGTACATGTGGAATTTCTGGGCAAAGGCAGGAGCAGGAGAATGACGAGGAGAAGCCTCAGGGCGGAGGGAGGAAGCCGTGAATAGGGTGGTAGTCGGGGGCTGCTGTTGGAGAGTAGGAGAACGAGGAAGAGAGAGGAGGAGATAATCTCAAGAATGGAGCAGAGGGAGAGGAAAGATGGATGCTAGGGAAGCAAGAGCACACAAGAAAAGCTCTCGCGCTCCTCCTGCGTCTTTATCGCCTCCACCCCTGCCGCATCCCTGGCACGTCCTCCATGGCGATGGTCAAACTGCGGTCAAACACTGCGTTACAAACCGTTATTTACACGTTGGATCCTAGAAACGGCCTGGCTTCCAGAAAACCTCATCCATGATGGCAGCGGCGAAGGTAAGGGCAATGGGTGGATTGGGAGGAGAAGAAGGAGGGGAGGGTGAGAGACTGTAGAAAAGCTGAACAGAACGTGATGGAGAGGAGAGGAGTGCTTGGGGTGAAGGAGAGGAGTAGCACTAGCAGAGGAGAGCAAGACGGCAAGAGTAAGGTTTAGGTAAGGGTAAGTTTAGTGGAGAGGAAGGAATATTGTCAAAAGCGATTGACAGACAGCAGCAACTGACAAGATTAGGAAAGAAAGGATGCTATCATTATAACAGTAGTAGCGGGATGTGATATTGACAGTTAAAGAGAATTGTGGCGAGAAGAGGAATGACGAACGAAAGAACAGGAGGTTGTGATTGATGCAAGGTGGATGGGCGAGGCGAAAATTGAGGAGAAAGGACAGGAATATGTCGCATAGTTTTTTTCATGGCCATTCACCATACAGCGTCCTCCTGTTTCGACTGACCTTGAACTAAATTTTTCCCATAGATGAAGGTCTTGTTTGTATGTGTATGCTTCTTGGCCCAGGTCAGTAGATTCCATCCTTGGGTGAAATACAGTTTTTCTCCCCACCTTCCCCTCTTAGACTGTTGGTAACTTTGTTGTTCTCCAGTCTCTCGCTCAAAACCTGGAGCTTCCGAGGCTTCCATACGAGTACGACGGTCTTGAGCCTCATGTGGACGAGGAGACGATGCGGGTACATCATCTAGGTCACCATGCAGGTTGGAAGGTTCCCTCCTCGCTGTGACATTGACTTCCTGTCACTGTAGCATACTTGGCGACTGTGAACAATGTGCTTTCGATGCTTAGATCCAATGAAACTACAAAACCGCTGGCCAAGATGGTTAGTACGTTGATAGCCAAAGTCCTGCAAATGTGTGACGCTGTGGTAGGGGATCGATAAGCTACTGCAGAACTTAGATCAAGTACCGACTGAACATGTCACTCCATGTGAGAAGTCCCCGCTCCAAATTTCGATTGACACGATTCGGCCAGTGAGAAATGGAGGTGGGGGTTTTGTGAATCATTTCCTATTTTGGAAGTGCATGTCTCCCAATGGGACCCGATTCGAGATGGATGGTAATTAAGAAAATGACATGTTGGAGCCTGCCCGACTTGGATTTCAGATGTCTTTGGAAAAGCTGTCACTGCGCAGTTTGGAAGTATTCAGGCGCTTCTTCAAGAGTTTCGCGAAAAAGCGACGAAGCTTTTCGGATCTGGGTGGACATGGGTAAAGCTGCTCATCTTCTTTTCTCTTCTGAGTCAAGAGCTAGCTGGTGTTGGAGCACTCTACGAAGAGGTTGTACATCACGACTACTCCTAACCAGGCAAAGCCTGCTTCGGTGGTTGAGAATGCTGTTCTGAATTTTAGACCAGGACACTCCAGCCATGCAGGTTGGTCACATTCCAATCTTAGGCTTGGATCTTTGGGAGCATGGTGAGTTTTGCGAGCTTTTCTTCAAGGACGAGGCTTGACGATTCAATCAGCATATTACTTGAAGCACCAGAACAAGAGGGCTGAGTACATCAGCAGCTTCTTTAATGTTATCGACTGGAAGGCGACTGCAGCACGATATGAGGTGATAACCGCATGCTCGACTCTTGAAGTGTCAATGCGAGCCTCGCCTGATGCGTTTGATTTGTAGGAGGCTCTCAAGCAGCCCAAAACAGAGCTCTAAATGATCTGAATCTTGAATAAACAGAGCTCTAACTTAGTAATGATCTGAAACGTGAATAAAACAGAGCTCTAATGATCTGAAACATGAATAAACAGAGCTCTAAATGATCTGAAACATGAATAAAACAGAGCTCTAAATGATCTGAAACATGAATAAAACAGAGCTCTAACTTAGTAATGATCTGAATCTTGAATACTTGAATAAAACAGAGCTGTAATGATCTGAAACATGAATAAACAGAGCTCTAAATGATCTGAAACATGAATAAACAGAGCTATAAATGATCTGAAACATGAATAAACAGAGCTGTAATGATCTGAAACATGAATAAACAGAGCTGTAATGATCTGAAACATGAATGAATCGGTGGGCCGGGCCAGTTTGAACTTCGGCGAGTTCATAGACTTAGTCTCGGCCCTCATTCAGCACTTAAAGTTTCGAATGTTTGGAACTTTGAAAGTTTGCTAAAGGTCACATCTGGTAGGTGCTCTACCCCTGTCCCCAAATTGCATAGGGGGACAGGGGTAGAGCAAACTTTCGATGAAGACTCAGGACGGGTAGGGGTCAGTAAGAAAGTAACGATAGGGGTAGGGTGGTGGTACACTTCCTCGGCAAAGTGGCGAGGAAAAGGGGGTAGGTCTTCAACAATGGCGATTTGTTGTCTACTAGTAGGGGGTGTGATGACTGTAAGTTAAAGGGTAGGGGGTCCACAAAATTGCCTTTCGCTAGGTGGGTAGTCCAAGTGGTACAAGAAGATGCAGGTAAGCCGGGAAACATCATGGATGGTGGATGGGACGAGGGCGAGGGCAATGGCGATAAGGACGATGTGGACGATGAGTTCATTCACTCCAGGGTAAATGACGACAGGAAGAAAAAAGCCACTCATGTAGAACAAAGAAGTGTCGCAAGGGATTTATCATTCAGACTGGAGCGTTCGGAGGTAGCGTCTCCAAGAAGGAGTAAGATTGCCAGGAGAGTAGATCATGTGGTGATGGATCGAAGTGAAGAAAACGATCAAGAGTCAGAATGAGACTAGATGATGTGATGATGATGATGAGGGATTATTCAAAGAAAATGGTGACAAGATTAGGAAACAATTGTATAAGGAGGAGAGAGTGAAAATCGGCGAGGGTTTACGGCATCAAACAGGCACGAGTGAGGAAGATGAGGATTGGGATTCTTGAGAATAAACCATTTCATAAAGAAAAGCGATTGCATTTTGATGGTTGCAAGGACTGCGGAGTTTTCAGGTGAAGGAGAAGTGACATTGAAAGGACGTAGTAGACGTAGCAAGTGTGCTATTACACCGGAGAATCTTCCCAGGATGTGAGAGGAAATTCTCCTCACTCACCTGGTCGGTGTTGTAGTTTCGAACCTGATGACTTGATCTTTGCAGGCTTCGGAACCCCAACAAGAACAAGAGCAGTGAGTGTTCCTTGCGTTTCTTTCTTGTGATCCTGAAAGTCTTCGACAACAGGAGCGGTATTCCGGGGATGCCGCAGGTGAGCTGTTCGATGAATGGCATGAACGCTTCTAGTGGCTGATGTGATCTGAGTAGCTCGACATGAAGATGCCAGAAATGCCGAAGTTTGAGATGCCGCGCATGCCATGGGTGAGGCAGGCTTCAGCCAAGGAGGAAACAATTGACGAACTGCTGTCAGGACACAGAAAACAAGGGGGAGGACGCGGGAGCAGCGGCAACAAGCCCTGGTCCTCCAGCAATTGTCATTGCGTAGGTGTCAAGCTCACGCAAGGGTGAATGCAGGCCTGGAGCTCCCCAAATTTGAGATGCCCAAGATGCCGTGGGTGAGGCTCGCGAGCGTGAAGAGAGGATGATGATGTCAAGATGGCAGGATGCACCAGCAGAGGAGAATCAGGATCAAGGTGCCTCTACTTGCATCCTCATGCTCCAGCAGCCTGCTGACTCGCTGGTCAGGCGGACTGAACATGCCCAAGTTTGAGATGCCGAAGATGCCTTGGGTTCAACTCTCCTTCCTCCTTCCGCTCCTCTGACCCACTTGTCTGCACAGGATGCGCAACCGGAGGGTGATCAACAAGGTGACGATGCCGGATTTATGATGATGATGATGATGATGAGGAGGAGGAGGAGGAGGAGGAGGAGGAGGAGGAGGAGGAGGAGGAGGAGGAAGAGGAGAGGAGAGGTTGAAGGAGGAGAGATGGAAATGGGAAAGGCAGGAGACTGAAATTCACGTCGTTCCCTAGGTGGTTTGCAGATGCCCAAGATCGAGATGCCGAAGATGCCTTGGGTTTGCCTCTCCTCGCCTGCTTTTCTCCCCTCATCTCTCATGTAGGATACACAGCAGCAGCCGGAGGAGGGACAGGCCGAAGGTGAATAGTGGAGCGGGAGCGGGAGCAGGAGCAGGAGCAGGAGCAGGAGCAGGAGCAGGAGCAGGAGCAGGCAAAACGGGAGGAGGAGCAGGCGAAACGGGAGTAGGAGCAGAATTAGGAAGAGGAGCAGAAACAGGAGCAGTAGGAGCAGGAGCAGGAGCAGGAGCAGGAGCAGGAGCAGGAGCAGGAGGACAAGCTGCGAGATGATGACGGTTGCAGGAGGATTTGCCATGCCCAAGTTTGAGATGCCCAGCTGGATCCCAGGGTATGGTCACGTCCCCTTGATCCTCTCGTGCTCATGGCCATGGCAGCGCGGCACAGGGCGAGCAGCCCAAGGAGGGAGAGGCAGCTGCTTGAGCTGTCAGCCTTGTACCAGTCGATCTTCCCGCATGATACCCTGCAAGCTAATTGCTGGACTCTCCGTAATAAACGCACAGAAAGGAGGAGGAGGTGGTGGTGGTGGAGGTGAAGGAGGGGATTTTGGTCGTGTTGATGAAGACGAGAATATTTCTTTATCGTCTGCTAGCAGGCAAGATGTTGACATTCTTGAGGAGAATGTACCGACCAAAAGTGTTTTTGCGAGCGAACATCCATGGCAGCTGCGAGAAGAGTAAGAGTTGAGAATAAGAAGGGAGAGGAGGGAGGGAGTGGAAGAGAGAAGGAGAGTCAGGGAATGGAGAAAGTGAAGCACATAAAAAGTCTTGAAAGGGAATCGCGATGAAGCGACATCGAGGAAAGGCTCTTCGTAGACTATCTCCCAACCTTTCTTCTCCTACAGAAACCAGTCAGCCCATCCTTTCACCTCTCATTCAACTCCTCCTCCTTCTCTTGGGCTTCCTAGCGCTGGCTCAACTCGCCCTACCTCGTAATGTTCCTCCTGCTGATGAGCAGCCACCATATCCACCAGCAGCGCGCAGTCTTCACTTCGCTCCAGTCTGATGCGCATGAGCAGCCTCGCGTCTCCGCCTCGCGCTCACCTGCTCGTGTCCTGCACGTTCCTGCTGTTGAAGGTCTCGTCCTCTCTCCTCGCTGCTTCCACTCGCCCCCACCAGCTGCCCGAGCCTGACCGACCATGGCGTGAGAAGAACAAGCTGCATACCGAGAAAGACAAGGACGACGATGAAGATGATGAGGAGGAGATGAACGAGAGAAAGAAGCAAAGGGGGGGCAGGGAAGGAAAGAGGAAAACGAGGAGGAGGAGAAGGGACGAAGCAAGAGGAGCAAGTAGCACTCTCTCTCACTTTCAGAGAAGAGACCCGGCAACTGCCCATCAAACTTTGAGCGGATGAAGCGAACAGACGTCCAGTTTCCTGCACGAAGAGATCTATTCATTCCTCCTCGTCCTCGCCCTCGCAAACCTTGTCCTCCTTTATTCCCACTCCACTAACTCACCGAGCATTCAATGATTGGATCTACTAATGCCTTTCCTCTCCTCTCTGTTCTTTTCTCCCTCCCTCCCTCCCCTCCTTGCTCCCTCACCTTCCACAAAGAAGTGACTTGGAAATCTGTACCACTCCTTCCCCACGCAGAGCTGTTACCCGTCAGAGAGGAGGGGAGGAGGAGAGGGAAAACCTTGAGGGGTCGTGAAGTGAGCGAGGGCGGAACTTCCACACTTGCAACCTGCACGCGAGTGAGAGAGAGAGCGAAGGGACGAGAGGGAGAGAGACGAGGACGAGGACGATGAAGGGAGACAAGAGCAAGAAAGCAAGAGAAGAGAAGAGTTCTGAATGATGTGAGGACAACTTGATCCCAAACACGGAAGGGGGCGGTGAATCCTTTGACAGTAAGAAGCAGCCTAGCATGCTGTCAATATCCTCCTCGTGAGTTTGTTCGGACCTCGAGCAAGAGACGGGCAAGAAAAGAAAGATGATTGATATGTGAAGAAGCTTGTCTAGTCGGAAACTTCTGAAGAGCAGCTGATTGCTGCTTGCGTTTGATGCAGACGAGAAGAAGTGAGAGAAGAGAAGAGAAATGTCGGAGAGCGCAAGGCCGGCTGAAAGAGCGATGAGAGGATAAACTGCGAAAATGAATCTTCTTGTTGTTAGCTTGTTTCGTCATGTTACGACATTCCCACCTCTCCTCCTTGTGCGCCAGACCTGCTCTTGTCTCAGACACAGCAGCAGAGGAAAATACGAGCAAACACATGAGAAGAAGAAGATCCAGAGATGTGCAGAAGAGAACACGAGGAGAGATTTCAGCATCTTGTCTTTCATCTTTGCGTTCTTCTCTCTGTCTTCATCATCAAGATGAGTCGTCGAAGTCAATTCACTGACATGCTGGCGGTGAGAAGCCTTGAGAGCGGAAATAGCAAGCAGAGGGGGAAAATGACATTGAAGTTCACTACCGTGAAGTTTCAGCAAACATCAACCAGATGCGGGGATGAGAAGGACAAAGCAGGGGAAGGGACTTATGGAGAAGAGAAGAGGAGAAGAGGAGAAGGAAAAGCAGAGATCAAGAACAAGAATGTCAGAACGAGGATAGGAAAAGAGAAGCTACAAGTCAAGTTTGCCAAGTAGAACCACCATCTGTGATCAACATCATTCCCTGTAGCCCCTTTGCCGTCTTACTCTTCTGTCCCGTACAAGGTTGAGTCTCCGCCAACACCTTATCAGCACATCAGATCAAGCAAACTCTGAGGCGAAACTCACCGAGAACGTTGTATAAAACAATCTGGAGCGAAGGTAACACAAATCTGAATGATTGTTACACGCGCAGTTGTTGTGTTGGGGGAAGAAGAAGGAAATCTATTGTTGGTTCGGGCGCCTTACTTGCCGTACATCAAGTACTCAATAAGTAGCATAGGTGTCAAAACAATGAGCGATGCCTGCAAGGAGGATGAGGCGAGCAAGGAAGAGGAGATGAAACCTTGATCGAAGAGAGGATAAGCTCATTGAAGGTGAAGAAATGCAGAAGAAGAATAGCCATAGGAAGGGCTGAATCAATCAGTCATAGCACCTTCAATCTATCTCGCTCCAGGCTCCAGCACTTGTTTCCCTCCTCCCCACCCCTGTCTCCTTTCTGTATTCACTACCAGCACTGTCGCTTCCAACATTATCCTCATCTTTATCCTCATCCCCATCTTCATCCTTTCTACGATCGTGCCATCTCTATCTCCATCTCCATCTCCATCTCCATCTCCATCTCCATGCTGCGCTCTTACCCAACAATGCAACAAAAGGCCATCCCGCAAGGGCTGCAATGGCCTGTAAAGGCGCAGGGAATATCAGACACAGAAGCGATGATCGGATGCAGATGATGCTCAAGAGAGGAAAAGGATCGGAGGACTGGAGGGGGATGAGGGTTTGAGAATCGCAAGCTCACCATGCAGAGGATCGTTCGATCTCTGAGCGAGGACTCGCTGTGAAGTGCCTGCTATTTGCTCAGCTGACGCGTCAACGCTGAGAGTGAACCTCGCGGTTGACAAGGTCGGCAAGAGAGGAGGAGGCCAAGGAGATCAAACACATGGCGAACGACGAGGGGAGAAGCGCAGAGCTGACAAAACATCAACAAGGTGAAGCTCACAAAACAGAGCAACCTCGCAAACACGAGTCCAGTGCTGCAAGAAAGAAACAGCTGGTGCACGAGGTGAACGACAGAACTCGAATGAGACTCGAGTACCATCACAGTGACTGAGCTGAACGTATTTGGATGATGCAACCTGCGAACGGAGAGGAACAGCTTGGTGTCGCAGACGGAGCTCAGACAGGCAAGAGTTGCTCCTAGCAGCAGAGTGAGACGAGCACACAAGAAAGCAGCAGAGCACGTAGAGCGTAGAAGAGAAGTTTCTTGCGCATGAGATGTTTTGAAAGGAAAGGGGAGAGAAGATGAAGAAACGGTTCTGCTGCCTGTCAAGCCCTGAGGTCAGTTTTGAATGTGAGTACTTGTCATCACCATGACAAGAGCCGCATGCAGGAAGATGTAGAAGTAACTGGCGCAGGACATCATGATCAAACCAGCAGCAGCACCTGTCCCTCTCACACCTTCGCAGAGCAAACCTCGGGCTGTACTCCCATGTCCTCGAGCCTCTCCCTGTCTCGTTGGTGAGCTGGTGACAAGCTGAGCTGATCTCACCGAAGAGCGAGAAATGAAGAGGCTCCCAGTAGTTGAAGACCTCGTCACCTGCCTCGCCCTCACTCTCCCGCCCTCCTCCGACATCTCGTCACAGTCAAGTATCGGAACGTTGAGAGCTCCGAGGAGACGGCAAGAGAACCTGGACAGCAGAGGGAAAACTCAGCGACGAGGCAACAGAGCCAGCATACTCACATGACTGTAAATACGAGGAGGCCTGAGATAGGAGCTGCTTGCGGCTGTGACTGACCAGCCGGCTCCTCCTTGTTCTCATGGCTGACGGTCTTCGCCTGATGGTTCCCCTTCCTCGTCATTCCCCCTCCCTGTTGCTCCTCTTGATTCTGCTCCCGATGCCTACCATCCCTTTCCCACCCTTTCCCTCTCTCCCTCCCTCTCCATCACCCCGCTTGCCCTCTTTGTGACCACGCAATCCTCTTCAATCAGAGATCCCCATCTGCATCCAGTCTTTCCTCTCCATGTCTTCAGTCTACATCTCAGTGACCCGCTACCTCCTCTAGCTCTGTACCGTCATTTCTCTATGGATTCTTCTCACCTCCTTCACACTCAGCTCAGTTTCTTGTTTGTCCTTTTTGTCTGGATCTCCCTTCATCTTCCCTGTCGTTCTTTACCCCACCTTTCGCTGATCATCTTCTGCTCTTCGTCCTCATCGTCCTCCTCCTCATCATCATCATCTCCTCTTCCTCCTCATCATCTCCTCTTCGTCCTCGTCTTCTCCTCGTCCTCACCTCCTCCTCGTCCTCCTCGTCTTCTCCTCGTCCTCATCATCTTCTCCTCATCCTCATCATCTCCTCCTCGTCCTCATCATCTCCTCTCTCCTCTTCTCCCTTCTCTCCAGCCTCTGCCTAGGCGTCTTCGCACCTTTCGCCGCATCGCCCGACAGTGAAAATCAAAAAGCCAAACTAAACGCTTTTTAGTGAGATATGTTGAGCTAAACCCCTCAGATTGAGACAAACTTCTTGTCCCCTGCCTTGTTTCACCAACAACACAAACAACTCATCCTCCTCCCTCCTCCCTCCTCCCTCCTCCCTCCTCCCTCCCTCCCTCCCTCCCTCCCTCCCTCCCTCCCTCCCTCCCTCCCTCCCCTCCCTCCCCCTTCCCTCCCTCCCTCCCTTCCTCCTCCTCCTCCTCCTCCTCCTCCTCCTCCTCCTCCTCCTCCTCCCTCCTCCTCCCTCCCTCCCTCCCTCCTCCCTCCCTCCTCCTCCTCCTCCTCCTCCTCCTCCTCCTCCCTCCTCCCTCCTCCCTCCTCCCTCCTCCCTCCTCCCTCCTCCCTCATAACTGGGTGCTTTCTTTGCTCCCTCCTGATCTTGCAACTGTTTTTCACCGGCCAACCCAACCTGTTCCGTCTCTCCTCACTCTTCCTAGCTATCTCGGTTTCATTCCCTCCTCTTTAAGATGCAGCCGAGTTCTCGTTGCTGACTGCTTTTCTTTCTCCTCCGCTCTCACCCACTTTGATGCTGCCCTCTGATCCGCCGAAAAGGCTCACAGGGATGCGGCTGCTCGATCTTCCGGAGGAATGTCTCCTCCGGTTATGGCCAGGCAGCCGCGTCCTCCTTGGTCTCCGAGTGGCCAAACTTTTGCGAGGGGCGTTAGGAAAGGACATGGAGGGGGAGAGGCTTCCTCTTGTCCTGGTCTGTGCTCAGACTGGCAGTTTCGATTCTTCTAAGTGCGACGAGGCGCTTACGAGTGCCGTCCGAGTGCTGATGAGTATGAATCGACTCGTGAGCCTGCAGCTGGGAGGGAGTGGGCCGCATGCTGTCGAGCTTCTTTGCAGGTTGTTCCATGCCGGGTTCAAGATGCGTCAGATCAGCAGCCTCAGCCTGAGCAGAAACAAGCTTTCATGCAAGGATCTTTTCCCCCTCATAGCTTCCCTCCAGCACTGCTCGACTCTGCAATGTCTGGATCTCTCCTTCAACTCCATCGACGCGGACGATCTTTCGAATCTCATAGCGATCGTCGATCTGAAGTCTTTGATCAGCTTGGACTTGAGGTGAGGGGAGGAGCGACGGCGCTTCATGCTGATCGTGTTCTTCAACCAGTCACAATGCGTGTGGCGGGTGGTTCCATCAGAGTCAGAGGCAAAGGCTCGTTGAGCTTACAGCATGTGGCATGCAGAGGAAGGAACCAGCGCGAGCACATAAGGAGTGGAGAAGGTTTGACCACATGATGAGGACTAGAGGGGCACTACCGTCCTACCTGGATCCTCTTCACTCCAGGAGGGGAATAGGTGACGGGGGACTGCACGTTCTCGCTCCTACTCTCTGCAACCTTTCCTATCTCTCTCATCTTGATTTAGTAAGCAGGAGGACGAGGCGTATCGTCCACTTAGTCACTTTCAGGCTTGCAACGGGCTCGGAGACCGCGGGATGGAAGCATTTCAAAGTTTCTTCAAAAGGCAAGAGGACTTCGAGCGTGAAGACGTCTTGACCTGATGTTTTCTATCAGTTGTCGGCATCTTGCTATGATCTCAATCTCCTCTAACTCCATCACTGACGTTGGAATCTCCTCGATGCTTGAGGCGATCAAGAGGTGCAGGCGAGAGGATCTTGACTCTCGTGCCCATGATTTGCTCCCTAGGTCTCAGAATTTTTCTCTTAACCTCTTGGATCTTCATGATAACAGCATCAGTGACAAGGGAGTACACAAGCTTGCAGGTGGATAAGATGTTTGTTAATGCGATGAAAATGCAATTTCAAAACACATGAAATGTTTGTTAACTTAGTGAATAGCAAGAACTTCAAAACACCTCGGAGATTCGTCTGATTGTTTTTCATGTGCAGAGATCGTTCAAATGTGCAGAGATCTTTCCCAGCTCTACTTGGGCAGGAATGTCATTTCCGACTTCGGGGCCCTGCAGATGTCCAGAGCTCTTGGACAAAGCCGCTTACAAGTATTGGAACTGGTGAAGTGCAAGAGAACTGAAGTTGCCATGCCTTGCCTTGTTCCAGCGTTTCCTTTCATTTGACATATTTCATACTTGATCTTTCTGCTGTTCATCGTCATCCAGTTTTCTGACGGCTCGCTGCCTCAGGGGGAGAACAGGATTATGGATGAAGGAGCGACGGCACTTGCAGGTCTGACCTTCATCCCAGGCATCGTGTGTTGTAACAATCTTGCAGAAGCTCTCACCTCCTGCAAGTCCCTGGCTGTGTTGAGTCTGGTAGAGAACCACGTGGGAGATAAAGGGGCCCTCCGTTTTGCTGAAACTCTTGAGTGAGAGACTCCTTCTTCGCTTCCTCCTGCTCCTCCTGCTCCTCACGTTTCTCCTCTGTTGCATTCTCCTGATGTTGTTCAAGGTTGTCCTCGCTTCGCATTCTCGATCTGCGACTCAATAGAATCGGCATGCAAGGTCGTCGGGGTTTACAGCAATCATGCCGAGCTAAAGATCAGAGCTGCACTGTGCTGTTGAGCTCAGAGTTCGTCATGTGACAAGCATCTTTATCCTTAGAAGCTCTTCATCCCTGATAGCTTCCGCAGCTCTTCATAGACGACCCAGAAGGTGAGTTGCCAGGGAGCCAGACGGATCCAACTGGGCAAGAACCCCTTGTACAGTGCGAGCACACCTTCTTGGCGGACGGTGACGAGCAGGCAGTCGAGCATGTTCCGATACATGCCCGAACCATCTGCCATAATTCTTGATTTCACCACGTCAGCAGGACACGACAGAAGAGTCGCAAAGAATCCGGAGATGAAGGCCGAACCCGCATGCACGCCGACATTGTCAGGATATCCTTTGCCGAGGAGGAAGTGCTTGGCCGAGTCGTAGGCTGTGAGCTCTCCAATGTTGACAAGCGCAGCTCGAGTCAGGTTAGGACCCAACCCAGCGTAAAGCCCCAGGAAACCGTCGCTGCGGACGATCTTGGTGAAGGCATCGGCGATGCCGGAGTACCTGGAAACGTGGCAGTGACTGAAAGCATCCGAGCATTCGACCGAGCAAGGGTCGTCACCTTGCTGGGAGATTTCTTGCCACGTTCCTCCCATCAGCTTGCATCCTGACCTTCACCAGGTCTGCTGGAGACGCCAGCGCTTGTCCCAGCAGGCCAGACGCTCCTCCAATCAGTGCTTTCTGGTACAGTGCTGCCTCTGAACCCCGTCGTTGTGCCTGGCGGAGCGTCAGCAAGCGAGAAAGGAGGAGGAATGCAACGGCACCATCTCACTTCGAAGCTTCTCATACAGCAAGATACGCGAGGTGCTGTAGATGCAATGCCGCAGAATTCCTGGGGACAACCCGCGGTAGAAGCCTCGAGGACCCTGTGAGTTACAAAGTGAACATGCGAATGAAGAGCGAGAGATGGCGGAGGAACCTCAGTCCTCAAGATGTTGACGATCAGCTCATGGAATCGCATCCTTCCTGAGCATCAAATGAGACCTCCAAGGAGTCTCATCGGATTCCATGCCTGGCTTCCTCGACTTGGTCTCGCCGTTTTCGCCCAGCAGTTGCAGTCTTGTCTTGGTCCTGCGGCCGCACGAGGTCAGAGTCTGCAGGAACCATGGCGGCTGTCGACATGTCGATCGGGTACGTGACAAGCTCCGCGACGCTCGCAGCTGCTGCCGTCAGCATCATCCGCTTCACCACCGGCTCCTCCCTCGCCCCAGCCATGTCAGAATAATAATGCGAGGCGGCGCCGAGCCAACGGACATTCGCAGATCATCGTTGTGCAGCACTGGGAGTGCAGAGTCAGCCTCGGATCAATCCACAAGGCGGCGTCACGCCGTTCACGTTCGTTTGTTAATGTTACAACATGGTAAAGTATATATGACGTATATGACCATCCGTGAGGCTGGGCAGCCAAGGCATCGTGTTTCTTCAGTCCAACTACACGAACTTGTAGCACGAGCCACTTGCGAACGAGGCTATTTACCATGTCGGATTTACAGAGATCAACACAAAAGAATAAAAATCGAAGAGGGAAGGAGGGAGGGAGAACAGGAAAAAGGACGAGGGGGGTTCGGTAACTTAGAGGAAAGAATGATGCTCAAGACTAGATCTCAAGTTAAGTTGTCCCATTCGAAAGTGCGGGCTGTCTGAATGTTCAAGAATCTTCGCATGCATAATGCAGCACAATGTTCGCAATTGTCCTGCAGGGAGAAAGACTCAGTAATGAAAAACCAGAAGAGCACAATTTTATATACCGGGAAATGGAGTTGCCCCGGAAGTTGTCTTCGAGGCACTGGTACAAGCATCAACTTCAAGCCGCCGAGACTAGGCGAGGACTCACCGCCCACTCGTTGAAGTGATACCCGTCCGACGTCCCCTCAGGCCTCACCACCTTTCAGCATCTCAGCAGTCACGATCGTGTAGCGTCGATGCCTTACCGTGAAGCTAAGCGTGTCCAGGATCGGGACACCTGAGAGGGGGGGATGAGCATGGGGAGAGAAGAGACTTCTGCAGGTATCACCTGCTTCCTTCATGATTCTCCTGGCAAATTCCAAGGCGGCAATCATGCGCTGACTTCGAAACCCATGCTTGACCAGGCTAACGTCTCCTCCTCGAGGTAAGTGAATGGCATCGCCATGTCGAAACAGAGGGAGGATGCGCTGTCGCTTGAGGAGCGCTCTGAGAAGCCTGGCTAGCTTGGGAATGTTGCGAAAGTAGTTGTCAAGAGTGCCGAAGAATATGTCATGGATAGAGGCCTGCACGACAATGAGGTCCTTGTCATTCTTGGACGTCAAGTTGACAAACTTGTCGATATGCCACGTGACTTGGTCGTAGTCGATGAGGCAGTTGAGGGGGCAACCAGGTTTGTCTTGGGTGTCGTAGGGGATCCAATGGAAGTAAGCAGATGGCGGAAACTCCAGGTCTTGATGCGCTTTGGTCTTTACCATGTCGCCTGGTAGAATCAAATCCGCAACATCGAAGAAGAGCGTCCGCTGCGGCGACGCCCCGGCAAACAAGATCCGGCGGTTCCGCTCTTCGAGGCACTGCTGGGCCTCTAGTGGAACACGTTTCGGCAGGCTACATCGCCATGGTACCCACACCCAGTCGTCCATCTCATCTGCATGACTGCACGGCAGAGTTTCTCTGCTCGTAGCCGAACAGAGCAAGTGTTTGTTCACCCACCGGCCCTCTGCCTCCGCTGGCTCCAACTTCGAGCACCGGGGCTTCAGGGCTTCGGGGCGGAAGGGGTTGACAGCAAGCTGAGAACCGTTGGGAAAGCAATTGGAATAACCTTGATCTGACACAAACACACGGAAAGGAGAGCCTGGCACCTGCACCTCAATCACCTCTTCTTCCCCGCCATCCCCAGGGTTGCGAAGCCCAGAGCACTGCGCATAATGGAGGACGATATGAAGATCATACCTGAATGAAACTGAGTAATCTGACTAAACGATCAAGGTAACAACCAGCCTGGATCCACGGCCGTATAAGAAGCATCATACACCCCTATTGTGTCTGTTGGCACAACATTGCCTACAATCAAAGCTGGACCCCTGAGGAGAACAGTCCAGTGTTCCTGCGTGTTTGCCTCCCATGGCATCCTGCTGCCCCATCTAGATGTACAGGTACTACCCTGATCATCCATGCCTGCTGCTGAAGCCTCCTCTTCGATCACGTGGATGCGAAACTTTGATCGCTCCCCAGCTACTGATTTCACCACACCATCGCCGATCACTTCAATATTGCGGGTGAGAAAGAAGGGATGGACTGCAGGCTGTCTGCGGACAAAGAAGGCTCGTCGATCCATCAATGGAAGCAGCTCACCCGTCAAGACTGACCGGAGACGTGCAGTCACGATGTGGAGACCAGGATCGAGACCACTGACGGTGAAGGATACGTGGCTCGACGTTGTGCTCGAGGAGACCTTCTTTCCTCCGAAGTAGACCTCAACAAGAGCCTCGGCTGGTACCTCACAGTTGACTGCCGAGAGATTCACGCGGATATCGCTTCTTACGATGCTCTCGTTGTGCTCTAACTCCCCGAACCACAAGAACCTTGGTTCCTCCTCTTGAGCCTCCTCCTTGGTTGAGAGGCTGCGATTGTAGAGAGGCCATACGTAACCAAACGCAGGTCTATCCACGTCATCATCATCGTGCAGGCTCGGATTCAAATGGAGTGGCGCTAAAACTTCGACCTCGTTCAAAATGGCAGGACCACCTCCCGGTGTCCAGTCGTCTATGGCGATCTTGACCGCTCGAACCAGGAGAGGAGGGTGATGGAGAGCAGAGGTCATCGCGTGCGTGAGGATCACTCCCTCCTGCACCTCCATGTAGTCGTCGTGCGATAACGACGAGAAGTGCTTCCATGAGACCTCCGAGAAGAGCGCCAAGTTATAAGCTGACCGATTGTGGAAGTGATCAGGGTTCAGCAGACTTGTGGCGTACCAAAGGCGCAGCTGAGTGATCGCCATGTGGCCGGCATAGCCACTGTGTATCCTCAACCCGACAGTAGCGTACAAGTGATCCAGCACCAACACTGCCTCGTTCGCTTCGCCATCGCCCTCTGTCACCCACCCCGACACAAGGTTCCCGTCGATGGCGAGCTGGTTGCCCAGAACTTCTCCACCTGCTCTGCACAGCATCAGAGACCCTCTCCTCACATCGGCGACGTTGACAGCCCGAGCCGCTTCTTGTCCCTCCCCCGAGCCGCTTGCATGGCACACCACTACTAGTGCTATCGCCAAGCATGCTGCATGGATCATCCGTTACACGAAGTAACGGTGTCCATGGCGGGACAGGAAACAGGCAGGCGATGGGAACAGTTGTTGGATGAGGTGATTGAACATGGCTGACGCGGAGGGCGAGGGCGAGAGAGGGCGAGAGAGGGCGAGAGAGAGAGAGAGAGAGAGAGAGAGAGAGAGAGAGAGAGAGAGAGAGAGAGAGAGAGAGAGAGAGAGAGAGAGAGAGAAGGAGAGAGAGAGAGAGAGAGGGCGAGAGAGGGCGAGAGAGAGAGAGAGAGAGAGAGAGAGAGAGAGAGAGAGAGAGAGAGAGAGAAGGAGAGAGAGAGAGAGAAGGAGGATCGAGGGGAGGATCAAGGGAAGAATTAGGGACTTGCCAATGGAGGATGCGATGACTTGGTTAAACATGATGGGATTGACATCGGGTTTGATGCAAGGTCTCAACGAGGACTTCTCGCACGGGGTCGAAGCACGCCATCTTGTTCGGAGGAGGAGGAGGTTGAAATTACCTTTGCTCGAGTGTCGTTGAGTTGGCAAACAGTTGGCAAGACTTGTTTGTGGGCCTCCCTTCAATCGTCTGGTCGCAATCAAACGGTTCGCCTCCAGCCACGGTCATCTTCTCCTTACCTATTCCAGGTGCCCGCTGCGTCACCAGTTCGCTTCGCCTACTCTGAGCTGGATGCTTCGGATTCCGACGACGGCAGGTTGGGAGTGGCAGAGATGGCGGCTATACTCATTGGTCAACAGGCATGTGCTGGGGGTCTGGCTAGCGTCAGACGGCTCACAGGCTGTCAAGACTTGCATGCGATCTGCTCGGGCGCAGGAAAGTCTTGGCGACACAGTGCTGCTGTTATGTGTGGACCTGAGTGAACCCTGGCGGTTGTCTTCTGCTCTAGTAGACGGGATCCGCACAGCAAGCGAGGTATGTCTTGAATAGCTCCGGGGGGGAGGTTGGTCTAAGTATGAGGCTTGAAGAGCATTAAGGACTGCACAAACATCGAGGAGCTAGGTCAGCTACAGGTCTCTCGTCCGTCACTTTTTCATCTGCCATGCTCAATTTCTTGCAGGAGAAACATCGAAGGCGTCTCCTTTCATCTAGACATGTCAAAGAAAATGATAGTTGTGAATCAAGGGTAGAAAATCTCATTGAAAATTTGCCCCTCCCCGATGGAGTTTTGTCACAATCATCGGGTATTATTTACGAGAACGTTGACGGTTTTCTAACGCATGTGGTCAGAATTTTCGCAACTATTTCCTGAATTACAGGCAATGGATCTTAACATTGGAGTTCCGCTTGTGGTAAGAACAATTTGAGGAACGAGATCACCAAGTTTTGTATTTCCATAGTCGTTTTCTGATTTGAAATCGAAAAGGTTGTTGGATGCAAGTGTGACGTCATCGACACGATTCCTGCAGATGACGTTTTGATGATGCAGGTACGTGTTGAAACAGCCTAAGTGTTTAGCAAGCGTTTACTCGTGCTCATGGTTGCGCTACAGTACATACTTCGGACGTTTTGTTTAGGTTTTGGATTAAGTTTGACTTTTACCTCGTCTAAAACCCTTTGCAACATCTCAAGGTTTCTCACGAATACAGACAAGAAATGTATTGAAACGTTATTTGCAGAATCAAGAATCTTCTAAATTCAATGTTGTGGAATGTCAAATCAGATATTAGCCCTCAGGTTTCGCTGCTTATCTTTTCATGACACAAAATTGAGCAATAGACCGTCAGTTGATAGACAGAAGTTCAATTTTCATTCCGTCCGGCACAGACAACAAGCAGGCAATTGGGATTCTTTGTGATCTGCCTCCTTCGAAGGTTTTCATGTTGACTCGATCTATGTGCGCTGAATCTTCTATAGAGCTGTTCAAGTCTGTTTGTACGCAATACGGTCTTGTATGGGCTGTGAGCTGTGTTGTTCTGATCTATGGGACAGACTCGAGAGGCAGAAGACAAGTCAAAGGATTTATTTCATGCCGATGACAAGCAGCTTCTAGAGGAACTCAATGACATTTTGAGCAGGGAGACCTCCCACGGTTTGTAGGGAATGCTGGATCCTTTGCCGTGACAGCGTGGCAGGAAAACCTCCTTCATCTATTGCCAAATCTTCGCACTCAAAAGATACTCCATCCTCTCGCGGTGCCTCTATATTGGTAGAGCGGATTATCAATATTGAGATATTAGCAGTCGCCAAGGTGCAGGAGGAAGACAAGGAATCACCGGCCACGGAGGATTTGCGATCTAAAGTCTCTCAAGGACAGGTCTGTCGCAACTGTGACCATTTTGTTAAATTTAACGCCGCGCTTCCGTGAAATGACTTGAACTGTCAAGGTGAACGACCAGGTTCTGACCGACTATTTCGCTTCACTGCTCCAGAAACCTCCACCATCAACAGATCGCAAGAAAACGTCAAAAGCTATGAAGGAGAATAAGGGAATACCGCAATAGCCGCCGGGCCGCCGGGCCGCCTTAGCCTCAGGGCCTCCGAGTGCCGCGGCAGTGCGGCATTCCCCGGCTTGAAGCCTTTTTTCGGGCGTGTTCGAGTTCGCCGACCACGGTGACTCGGACTCGGACCATCACCCCGTGACCAGGCTAGCCTGGCAGACTGAGGCAGAGTCAGCCTGCGATTGAATGGCTGAATCACGGTTGAAAAAACATTCCAAGTTCGTTGAATAATGATAAGTTTCGAAACTTCGAATCTCTCTGTCCAAGATTTCAGGCTGACTGTTCGGCATCACATCACCCCACTCAGTTTACCGGCGTGCCAGTGGGGCCGTCTGTGATGCGGGTATAGTCCAGCAACTGAGCGATAGTGCACTTAGGAGTAGAACAGATGAACAATGAAGCTAGATTTGTTTATGTACAGCAGTAAGAGAACACACGTCAATGTTCGTGCAATCCCATTCCGATGACGTGGCCAACGTCTAAGATGGGTTGCTTATATGTCGAGGTCAGGCTTAACCCGTAATACAGCAATGAGTAAACATGTGTATCGGTTTATACCAGCCTCATGCTTTCATCATACCAATGTGTTGTACGTACGTCTACGTCCAGTACACATCTTCGATTCTAGCATTATACACCTCGCCAGCGTACGTAGCCTCTTGCGACTACTCGCATGATGCTGCCATGTCCGTTACTGACGTAACGTCATGCGGGTGCAACATCAGTCTGAGTCACTGCCATGCATTCTGGGGTCAAACCGCGTTGGTCTTTATTAACGCAAAAGAGGAATGCGTATGCTGTTCTCATAGGATACCGGTGGTAGTGTACCCCATGGTTTTTGAGGGGTGTTGCTCGGTAATATCAGTGGTAGGGGTGCTTCAAATTTTGAACTGGCGTGTCCATTTGTTTTAACGGCAATGAATTGTTTATTCGAATCCGTGGTACAAACAGTTGTACTGAGTAACGGTTCATAACTGCTAATTTGTACCATCTAAAACAATTTTGATGACCCACCCTATCAATGAGGGTGGACCACTGTGACTGTCAAGGAACTCTGAGGCCCTGAGGAGTCCGGAACTCGGGAACCCGCCGTACGGTACTACGGTAGCACTGCCGCGTGTCCTCGCCAGTAACGGTCAAAAACGATGTTCTATTCAAGCGGCGCTGCCTGCCCGTTCATGCCAGTCAGCAGTCATGTACTGATCGAAGGGTGGGGTGTTTCGCGGATAGATGCAGGGTAGGGGTGGGGCGGCAGATCTTCACGGTAGTAAAAAGGTGGCACTGTGTGGGTGGGTGGCAGGGTCCTTCTTTACAATCCGGCATAAATGCAATCGAATTTCTGAGTGGTCACGGGCCCATGTATGGGGGGGTGGGTTATCAAATAGGTGTTATGATGATAGGGGTCCAGACAATAGAATTGACGGGTGGGTGTTGAAGATCGTCCAAAAGTTGTTTATTTCAACGTCTACCACCCACCCTTTTGGTAGTGATCCAAACTTGAACGAAGGGGTTCTCATATGTTGACCTCCTTCCTGATATAGCCCGTGTATCAGATACACCCCATGCAAAACCCCTCTCAACGTACATGTACCCCTACTCCGATACTTGAGAACCCCTTTAACCCCTGTTTTGTACAGCTCCAAGCCCCCTGGAATCGAGCCCATACTCAACCCACCCCCCTCGATACAAGCAGTCGTAACCTCTTTTGCTACCCCTTCCTGTACCAAATTTGTGTTACATTTGTAATCAACTTCCTCGCGACCACCTTCAACCCACCCTACCCACTGAATCCTTTCGGTACAGGCACTGTAGACCACCCGTGTAAATTGAAATGTACCCCTACCCCTCTCTGCCGTGCCGCCATTAGCGCCTCACCCTGCATACTACCTACCCCCATGTATCTCAAAGTACCCCCAGTCCTAAACACCCCAATATCAAAACTCCGCCCCGATCCGCTCGCTCCGACAATCGTATCCCTGCCCGCTTCCCCTCGTCTGCGGTGCCTCGCCGCTTCGCCTCTCCTTCAGTTTATCATTCACTCACTATGCTCATTCTAGTACCTTCTTGAAGTTCCTCCTCTTGATTGCATCTTCCTGTCTTCTGATACTGGCTATTCCTGTTACAGAGCACTCTGCTGGGATCCGCAGTCCCTCGCCTTTTATCCCTCCATCGGCAGAAAATTGGCTAGGAAAAGGAGCAATCATCGTTACCATCTGCCAACGTCAATGCAGGAGGGGCAGGAAGCCATCATACGTACTTATGAGGGACGAATTGTAAGTGTCACTGTCATGAGAACTCCAAAAGCTGATGAGGTATGGTTTTAAAAACTTTATGATGATGTGCTTAGGGAATCTATTTTTCGTGCTCCGGTTCGCAAACTAATTGAGATGTATTTGATTATTGCAAATAGTACTTGATGTAATGGGCAACCTGAAGAAAGAAATGACATAGCCATGATCTGATTGTTCACAGGACCGCTCCAGAGCTGATGAAAATGTGGACTCATCTCGAAATCGAGCTGCTGTTGACGGGACGAAATTTGAAAATGAGGCAATGTAAAAGATCTTTCTTCGGTTGCTGCTAACATATTTTCTGATAAGTCATCTGAATCCACCGACAAAGTTAAGCAAATAGAAAGAAGAGATGCAGCAAAGACATAATGTAATTGAAAAGCATTTGATGGCCAGAAAGCTGATGGTTGACAGGACGATATGCAGGTCATGTTTGATATACCACATATAGTGATATAGTGGACAATGATATAAGATAACAGCGCAGTTGAGCAACACTCTCAACTGCTACGAATTATTACCATTCAACCGAATTCGGCATTGGAAATTTCGCGGCCATTTTTGACGCATCTTTAATGGCCATTTTTCTCAATCTTTTGAGGCCAAGAGACACGCACAATGAGCAGCAAGGATCCAAAATTTTCAAAATTTGAATTTCAGCAGCCAACGATCAAATGCAGGCGCATTAGAGCTCAACAATTTTCAGCTCAATGCTCAGTGGCTCTCTTGCTTTGCAACTGCTTGATCTGAGACATCTTCCTTTCAAGCTTATCATATCCCTGCAAAGAAAACAATGTGATTCTCAAAAACATGTTCAATTGTTCAGTACATATTTCCTGAGTGTCACCTCATTGTCATCCTGCATGTAGACAGTCAGTGCATTTCCACTCATTATTCTCATACAAAAATCGGTGAAAAGTAGATACATAGAGAGACAGGCAGGGCATAGAGTTGCAAAATCACAACTACTAAAATTAAAAAAGGATGCTCCACTCATTGAATGGAAAGACTAAGTTTGAATAAGCAATAGTTCATGCATCAATGTATATGATCCATTAGTTACCTGCACTTTCTTGCTAAGGATTATTCCCTTTTCCAACGCATCTTGAACGTATACACCAATATCGTCTTTACGTAGAAGACTGATTGTTGGTATCCTAAAAGATAAGGTCATTGAGGTGCATAGGACCAAGAAAAAATAAATTTTGGACCCAACATGGATGCTGTGCACTCAAGACAAGTGATTTAACACATGAAGCTTTCAGGGAACGAAGAAGTTACGGAGCTCGTCTCTCGAAGTGTATCGGATCGTTGTTGTCCATTTCATTGAAGGTCCAGTTAGGATGGAAGAAGGCGATTCCAACTCTTCCTTCAAGAAGCTGATGGCAGCGTCATGAAAGAAAGTCTCAAGCAGATTTCTCGTCACCGGATCATCTTCTTTGTCGAAGATTTCCTCTTCAAGAAAATATCCCAGCTAATTGTTAAAGGATCACAAATATGAAGCATTAGAGAATCTCATACCTCGGACCAATCCTCAAGAGCGTCGGCCCAATAGCTGTCATTTCAAATTACTACTTGATACGACTTTCTCCTAGGAAGATTACGGTGCTAGTAAAAGAGTTGTTGCTGTCTCTTCAGGATCGTCGTCAAGAAGTTTACATGCTAGATCAGAATAATTGAACAATCTGCCATCTGTTGAGTATTGTTACCTTCTTGCAGAATGTCGTCGATCAATTCTTTTTCCTTGACTCAACAATCAAGGGGGGCATGCCAACAGTATCTACCTTTTGTGCATTGGAGATCGAATATCGAACAGTATCCTTTTGAAATGGTGTTCGTGCAAAGGGACACAAGTTTAGTTCCACTATCATTTCCTTGACCCATGCCCTTGTTTGCGCTATCATGATCTTATCTTCATCTCGACTGCATTCATCCTTGCACGAAAATTAAAAACAAGATGCAAACGAAACATCAAATAATATACAAAAATTGCAAAGTATACCTCTGATATTATCCTACTTTGCATTTGAACGACACTTCCGCGTTGGATCGCGTTCAATGCCCGTGCTTTTCTGAGTTTGCAGGCGTGAAATTTGCTCCGAAAAATGGATAAGGGAACAGATGATAAGGGAACAGGAACAAAGTACAGACAAGGTTGATTCATCTTCAAGGCTTGTTGAGCACTTGACTCCGCTCCAATCGCACATCCAAGAAGCAGAAGACTGATGAGTCGCATTGCTGGATTGGCAGGGTTTAGGTTTAGGGTTTAGGTTCTAAATTTAGGGTTTCTAAATTTAGGGTTCTAAATTTAGGGTTCTAAATTTAGGGTTCTAAATTGGGATTAGGGTTTAGGGTTTAGGGTTTAGGGTTTAGAAGATGCTCGCGAGAGTTAGGCTCCTCCCAAAAAATGAGATGTGTCACGTCTTGGAGAATCAAAGACCTATATGCGTCCTCTCCTCGGTAACGCGGATCTTCCAGGCAGTCATAGCGCACAGACTGGCAAAAGCTGCTGAAAAACATAAGACACTAACAACCAGGAAGGTTTCAGACCAGAGGGAAGAACGAGGGTTTGGGGTTTGGGGTTTAGGGTTTGGGGTTTAGGGTTTAGGGTTTAGGGTTTAGGGTTTAGGGTTTAGGGTTTAGGGTTTAGGGTTTAGGGTTTAGGGTTTAGGGTTTAGGGTTTAGGGTTTAGGGTTTAGGGTTTAGGGTTTAGGGTTTAGGGTTTAGGGTTTAGGGTTTAGGGTTTAGGGTTTAGGGTTTAGGA